GAAAGAACGATACAGCAGTTTTATACATTCCTTGTAAACAGATCTCTCACTACTGCGCTTCTTTTGATTTCCTACCTGCAACTAGAGGAGCTCAGATTTTGCAGAATAATAAATTCCCCTGAATAACAGAGCAGCTTAAAGAGTACATCTTTAAAAAAACATACAAATACGTCTATCATCTTAGTTTCCATAAGGCAAAGTTATCTCTTCCTCTGAGCACCTGTGAAGGAGAAAGAACGGACATCACCCCATCTAACCCCTGTATCTATAGCATAAATAGGTATACCAGTCCCAGCAAAGCCTCTGAGCTCACTCCCAGCGGGGCGGCTGGCCAGTGGTGCTGAGCCCACGTGCTTCAGCGAGCAAAACAGCAGCGTTACAGAGGACAAGCACCTCACTCATCTTTCCAAAGTGTTCAAAGAACCGGGGAATGAACTGGGTCATTGAGTCATTATTAATACACTTGTTCTCTGACAACAGCAGAAACGTTTCCTTTTCCTTCCTGAAGATACATGTTCACCATACCGCGATCCTGGGCAAGACTCAAGCAGCACGGCTTTTCCATTCATCTTTGCCCTAAACACTCAGCATAATGCATTTGGCAATTAAATTTATTTTACAGAAACTGATAAAAATGCTCTCCTGTAGAACAAATATCAGTATTTTTTTCTTACATTTTCTAAAATTCAGAATAATTTACATTTAATCCTGCTTCTAGATGACACTTTCATCATCCCTATTGACTCCTCTCTGAAAAAGCAACATTACTGTTTTTAACTGGAGGGAATTACTGGACTGCATAAGCAAAACAGTCCTTCGCATGGAGCTCAAGAACCCTCTCTTCCCACTTGCATTTGCTGCCTTTAAGCTCCAGAATTTTTGCAGAAGACAGCAAGGGTTCCTTTTTTTAGCGGGGCTGGGAAGAAATGAGGACCCCAAGAAAGGTGCAAAGCTTTTTTCAGCACAGAACAGTAATGGTGTGCTCACCGGTTTCTGCCTTTGCATCAGTGCACTGAGAAAAGAAAATGGCACAGAAGCTTGTATTTTGTACAGAGGAAACCTTATAAAGGAACAAGAAAAAGGAAAACACAAACCCCGAGAAAGGCAAATACTGCAAATCTAATTTTTGAGTTTCCTCCATGCAAGCTACCTTTGTCAAAAGCTATGACATATAGTCTCTGGTAGCACCATGGGCCTTCTCCACGGCTCCAAAATAATGTCCAAATCTGATACACTGGAGGAGGACAATTGTAACTTGGACACAAGTTTTAAACTCCATTGAACCTGGTCATCTCAGAGGCAAGCTGCTGATAGAGGAAATCATTGCTTTTATGTATTCCGTCTGTTTAATGCCGTTACCAAGGGAACCGGAAGCGTCGATTCGAGTCTTTGTTAGATGGAAGGAAACTTTTCCATATTTTTCCTGATTTAGGTTAAAATAAACAAATAAATGAATGCCACAGGCATCACTTTATCGCTCCTTTCATCTATGAAACCTGCAGAGGCCCGAGAGGGTTTTGTACGGTGACCATCACTCAGCGTTTCTGTCTGCAAACGCAGACCGAACCTGACCCAGCTCACGCTCAGACCAAGCTGGGCTGTTTCGCTGCTCCGCCTGGGTACCCATCTCCAGGCTCTCATGGTCTAAGGTCACCAGCCATTAGACCCTGCTGCCTTCCTTTTTTTGGCAGACTGTGCGAGCGGCTGCAGCGTGAACTGGTTCACAACTTACCCGGCCAAAACAACCCTGTGCACTTTACCGTGGGATCAGCTGGCTGATCCAGGGAACTCGCCGATGGCACAACCGCTAAATCCAGTTAAGGGTGGATGGAGAAGTTTGAAACCAGAAGTTGGAGGATGGAAATAGCTCCTTTCAGTGACAGCCACCAGTGACACTGAACCACGTGTGAAACTGCACCCACTACACTTTGATAAATTCGAGCTGTGGTGCTTTCAGTTGAGAGCAGGACTGCTGATACTTGTGTTTTCCTAAAGGTCAGGATTCATAAAGTTTGTGAATTTTCTTGTTAAAGCTGCCACCTCACGCTCCTCTGTTCCTCCTGCCTATAAGCCCTATTCATCAGGGTACTGCTTGTCAGCCAGCGCTTCTCCTAAGGGCATTTTAAACGTTGATTCTGTAATTACCACAGAATTAGTCTCCCATTGACCTACTATATTTTTTCCTTTACAGGGGATTTGAAGGTGCTCAACTGAACAAAATGTGGGTCTTTTCCAATAACCTGGAATCCAGACTTTTATCTGCCACTCGGTTCCAATTAAGAAAATATATCCTGGTTTCCAACACGTACCTCCCAAGCGCCTACCTATAAGAGAATAATCAACACAAGTCTTTAGGCATAAGTACAGAACCTTTTAATAATTAATTATTTCCTACCAGTAACGTAATCGGTGGGCTACAAAACACAAAGATCTAGATGGGAGATGAAAGCCTTGCTGCAAGCATTTGCCCCCCCAGGCACAGCCTCAGACAACTGTATTTGGATTCCAAAACCCTGCCTGCCGAAAGGGATTAAAATACGCTGCCCCCTTCCTCAGCCTGGTCTGAGCCATCCACGTTTCAGTAGAACCACCCACACACCTTCTGCGCTCATCTCTTTTTTGAGACCAATGAACAAACCACAAACTTTCTGTACCACATGAGAGCATCCCTCATTTCCAGCTTTGCTGAATATTGGCATTCAATTTTATTCCGTGATTGAGACTCTCTACTAATTTCAAGCACCGCTGATTTATGATTTGCCTGGTAACCTGCCTGCTTTTGTAACATCTGTATCCAGTCTTATACATTTGGCAGCACAACAACTAGTTCAGATTATTTGCACAGACAAGACTCCATAGTTGGTTGTTTTCTTTTAACAGTCATGCTCACTGGTGCTTCATTGTGAACCTCTACATTAACTGGAAGGCAGAAACCCGTCTTCACAGTCAAAGCAGTGGCTAAAGTAAGGTTCTTCAAATTCTATTTAAGGTAACTTTGACGAAAACTGAAATAAATAAAAATACCCAACAACAAAAAAAGGCACACCCCCTTCCCCAAAAGTAGCCAAGATTGGGGAAAAAAAAAACAAAACAAACCAAAAAAACCATAGGGGAATCAGATGCCAAACTCAAAACCTCACTGGCATATTTAAAAGCTTCATTTAAACATTTATTTTAACATTCCTCTGCTTTCAGATCTGCTGGATGACGAATGCTGCTGAAAATCAGATCACACAGGGCTTGGTCCTGCAAGACTCTACGCATGCCAGGTCCAACTCAGAAATACATAAATAAATCCACACTTTGAAAACGTGCTTGACTTGAAGTCCATGGGTCATCCCACTGCAGTCATGCTCAACTGCTCGTCCGAGTCAGGGCTGGAGTGCTCAGCGCTGCAGAGAATCCATCCCTTATTAAGGTCCCTAAACACGAAATAAAGAGTTTATTTTCGGCACTTCTGGGGAGCCTCTCTGGTGCTATTCTTCCACAGCAGGATGAATCCAATTATCCAAGCAATGAGAACTCTTCCTCCTCTCACACTAAGTGCGGTGCCCTACACGTTGTCCCATGAGGTATCCTGGCAAGCACACACAGGGAATTTGCTAGAGAGCGGGGCCAGCGGATGCTGAAGCTTGCGCTGGCACAGACCAGTCCGTGCAGTGATACCATACCCCGGCAGCGTAGCTCAGGCTGCCCTAAGCTCAGGTCACTGTGCAAGATCGATGAGGGACTGTCCCAGCCTTGAAGCTACGAATCAGGAAGACAGTGATAAATGCTGACTTGGGACCTACTTACCCACAACTCTGAATTTCATTTGTGTTTTAGGGTCATTCATAGGTTCTGAGAGGCGCAGCAAAACATCATGTGAAACTCATGGCCAATGAGCCCCGCATCTACCTAGAGCAGTAAGAGGTATGGAAACCTGGGGAGAAAATCTTTAGAGGGATCTTCATGAGGCATGAATACGAAAAACCAAAAAGCCTAAGCTGTTAATGTCCATGAGAGACTTTCATGAATTCTCTGAATAATGTGGTGTGATTTTCCTGAGCAAGATTCCCTGATACTCATGTCATGCACTCTGCTGGAGTCCAGTGCTCTTCCAGGGCTTTACAGGAACACCATTTGTTCTGCAGTACAACGGGGCAGAAAAGTTGGAAGTTGAAGCTAAGAATTTTACTTACTCAAATAAACAGGAACACAAAGGAAAAGAGCTGTGGTTGAAGTACTGCATTTCTTCTACTCCATTACCTCTGTGAGATTCAGAGTTTCATGCTTCTTAATCACTCAGCTTCCAAAATATTTTTTTCAAAGATGATTAACACAGTTTTCTTTGTTGCATGAAGCATACTTCTCTTTTGTCCCAACCAAAGAAAGGATCTACTTTATACTACAAATAATTTTCAAGATGGTATCCCAGCAACAAGTATCCAGCAATGTGTACGTCAAATTGGCTCTACTTAAATAGCAGAAAAAGGTTGCAGTTTCTTTCAAGGACTCTGATGATGTTTAGATTTTTTTTTCCAGAGATATGTAGTCTAGAGAAGTAATAAATCAACTGATTTAAAAAGCAGCACTTCAGAGATTTTTGCACATCTTGTCTTGTTTGCTAATAATCAAATGAAAATCCATGTTTAAAATTATTGTTCCCATGTTTCTAACCTCACAACCTTACTTTAGATAAGATTATTATAATATTTTATACTCCCTTTACAGACATTTCTTGGAATTTTATGGAATTAAGCCCCCAGACCTATGAAGGAAGGTCTCATCGGTGAAGGGTATCTGAGGTTTGGCTTGTGAAGATTTTGCTCCACTGCTCATCTGGAGTTGCAAGAATTGTCTCTATTAAACCGCTGGGGAAGCAAATGTTGGGCAAGCAACACAGCACAGAGTTTTCTACAAGAGCAAGGGATCAGGAGATGCAGGTTCTCTGCTACAGACCAGTTCTGCCCCACCTCTTGGACCTCCAAATGTAGGAATTATCCTACAAGAAGCTTCTTGGAGGAGAACCTCCACCTCAGAGGAAAGTCTAAGGACATCTTTGCTCCAGCACTAACTAGAAACACCTGCTTGAGCGCATTCCTCTTGAAAAAAATCTTCTTGAGGGCAAGGTACCATCCAGCAAATGCTCCTGGTTGAGCAGAGCTCCCAGATTAGCAGCATACAATGGCAGTATCCCCACAGCATTAACAGCTTTGACACTACAGCACTTCAACATTTGCTCTATGTACCCTTCAGATAAGCTACAGGAAATTTCAATTGTCACTTAACTCAAGCTATAGATTATTTTTTTTTGTGAGAAGGAAACAGATTACACCATTAGCTACACCTCGAGCTAACACTGCTCTGAAATTATGCCGTGAAAATTGTGCAATTGTCACTTAATCTTAAAATATTCTCATAGGATTTCTCCAGGACAGGTCACACGACCCCCTGCCCTTTCCTTTAATCCACCTGCACTTCCTCCAGGTGCTCCTGGTCCCTACACAAATTCAAATCAAATGTACTCAGATTTGCAGATAGGTCCTGGGAACTTCTGTGTGGGAAACACAGACATGCTGCTGAGGGCCTATCCAGCAGCAACGCCAGCCCAGCACGATCAGCCTTGAACAAACTGTCTTCAACTCAACAGAGAGCAAACACTGCCGAATACAACCAACACTTTGTAAGGGCCAGGAATAAATTCAGATGCTTACCCTGGAAGATGGAAGATTACAAGCTTCTAACGCAGTCTCTACCCGTTTTCTGTCAGCGGAAAACAAGCGGTATATGCTGCGAGACAAAGACAAAACAGAGGCAACAGGTTTAAAGACTGAATATCACTTTCCAGTCTATCACGTCTTTAGCTATTTACTTCCACTTGCTGGCTGCTCGGTAACACAAGCGAGTTTAACGGTGCCCACAAGGAGTTTAACTCTACCCCACACAAGCCCCTATATAACGGATGGTTATTTCAGAAAGTCACCACTGCTCTCTTTGTATTACCCCAGCGACATGCAATTTGAATATATTTATCCTCATTACATGTCCCTGAGGTAAAGAAATTATAGGTTTTTTCTCATTTTACAGAAGTGGAACGAACAAGGGCAGAGAAGCTAAATGTCTTGCTCAAGACCACAAGGGCAATCTATGCCCAAAGGGTATTCGAACAGACATCCCGAGTATCACTGGCCACTCCTTCCTGCAACACATGTTACAAACAGCCGATAAAATTATTGTTCTAGACACAGCGGTCACATGTTCATCCCAGACATATTTTCACACTCAAAAGTCAGAAAGGACTACAGGGTGAGGAATGGGAACAGAACTTACTTCTTCAGAGGAATGCGCCCTTCTGGAGTCACCTGCAGCTTAAGTTTTGTGTAACTGTGGAGAGAAAAACACCCAATTTTATTTTTACAGCATTTTCAGGTACCTCTCCACCAACTTTAGAGCTCAGTGCTAGTGCTCTTAGCACAAGGCAAGTTCCACTCAGCTCTTTTGCCCAATATGAAAACCTGTTGGGATATCAGTAATAAGAAAACACCTTTTACTTCAACAGCAACGCACCTGTAGTGTCAAATACTGTCTGTCCTGCAACAGGGCATTGCAAATATCATTAATGCACACATTTATCATCCCCCCGAGCTCCTTCTCACCCAGGTGCCTGTCAGTCTACCAGCAGACTGAATTGTGGCACACAGGCTACACAACTTGACTGGAAAGCTGGCTGTACTCCTCTTCCAGAGGCTGAAATTGCCCTGGGATGTTGCACACCAACATCCCTGCCTCCCTAAGCCCTCTCCATAAGATACCTGTGAAGGTTTCTCCCTTTGACCCTAGAAGTTGTCACCCCCCAGCTGAAGGAAGTCAAAGAGCTGGCAATTGGAATGTCTCCACACCAGCAAGAGCATCAGTACACTCAGCAGCCCTGGGCAAGCCCAAGACATTTCCAGTATGAAGCAATATCAAAATTACACGCTGAAACAATCTACAGGCAGGCAATCATCCAGCTTTTGGAGTATTTAGAGTATCTCAGTGTCTCAGGACCCGTGACTTCTCTCACATGCTCATTAAGGCAGGGGGCTAAATACACATCTATCTCTGTCCAAATCTTTCAACATATTGATTCAAAGCCTACTGAAAGAGGAGTCATCCAGTAGCTTTAATGAGAAGCAGTTGGGTCTACAGCTGCTATGTGATGGTCCTCCCAGTACATGAGGTCTACTGGTTACCAGCATAATGTTTACCAGCAGCAGCCTGCAAGGAGCACAACTTTGAGTGCTTCATCTCTTCCAATTGAATATAATGAAAACTAAATGGGTTTTGCAGTAATATGATCTGATAAAAAAATGTGGCAACACTTCAGTATTTAAGAGGATTTTTTCGGTTGGTTAAAAAAAACCAAAACCAAACAAACTTTTTCACTTTTCCCACTGGCCTACCAAAAGAAAAGGAAACTACATGGTTCTAATAAACTTCCCTTTTTTTCCCCAACCAAAAATGTCATTAGCAAGCACTTCAAAAACAAAGTATGTGCTAATATCCTAACTAGGATAGGAGCATTTTCACAAATGCTTGTCTCCTCATATGCATCTTCTGGAAACTGAAATCTGTTGTGCTACTGTGTCATCAAACAAAATCATTATCCCCTTTGCCCCATCTCCCAGCACTGAGCTAGACTAAAAAGAAGAAAATCACAGCGGTTAGCAAAAAAGTTTCTTTCATTTTGCCTTCTAGTTTTTTAAACTTTTGGGTACATTCTGGTCACATTTAATGTTTTCCTCTACACCCAAGAAAGCCAGAAATAAAAGAAAATGGAGGGTGGGGCGAGAATTCTGAACTTCAGGTAAAGCAAACTAAAAATGTGTGTCTGCAGAACTGTCAGCCCCCCTTATACTCACCACCTTTTTTCCTCCCAAATCCTTTGCTACATATGGGACACTATTTTTTCTCCTACAGCCATTATTCACCCATCTAAGAAAACCAAGCACGTTATTCCTGTTAAAAAGCTTGCTAGGAGATACACCCATGGGAGGCAGTCGAATGGACTCATTTCAGTAGTGCAGTGCCGACTCCAAGAACGACAAACGCTGGACGTAACGCTGACCCAAGGTTTCCACAGTGCAGTCACCCTTTGCTCGTGACGGCGCTGGTCAGCACTTCAGTACTCATGTACTCCAGTGTCCATTTTTGCACCCCAACACAAAACCACACTGCACGGGTACAATAGAGGAATGAGCACATCATAACCAAAATGGCAGGTCTTATTAACCACTTCTCCTCCTAAATTAACTCTGTTTTTCTCATCTGACCAAACCACAGGAAAGCTACTCAAGCTGTTTATTATTGTGTTTCCAATGCTGCAAGGGACTGAATACCACAAAGAAAAAAACCTTAATTCTGCTCTAATACAATTTGCTTTTCTATTTCAACAAAAGGGTTCTGATAGGACTGCAACCAACTCTTTGCTTAGTACAGTTATTATAATGGGGATATATTTTTAATCTTCAAAGTCAAAGACTTCTTAAGTGACTCTGATTTGCCATCTGTGCAAAGGACCCTGGAAACCCTACAGTTCCCAAGTGATTTATTAATTAGTGGAAAAAGAAAGAGACACAGAAATGCCATGCTTGCCTGCTACTGAATCTATGCAACATGTCCAGTGACTTCATCTTTAATTAATGTTGCTTGAACAACCACCGAAAAATGGCTACAAATAAGTCTGGCTCTACTATACTGTGTGATAACAAGTTCCTCCTTTGAACCTGGTATGAAAACGCCCATGAGGTACAGCCACAATCCTCCCCGTTACAGACTCATCAGCAAAGTCTGCTGGCCACCTAGGAACTTGAGTAGTAAGGGGCATGGAAATAGTAATATCAAATCACTCCCGTAATTCATCTACAACCTGTGGAGATGAAGGAAGTCATCTCTGCTCTTGCTCTCACACTTGGGTCTGCTCGGGTTAGCACAGTGCTTTCTCTACTGTCAACACGTGGAGTCAAAAGGAAATGTTAAATGTTTCCCTCCATTTGGGATTTTGTTTGCCTAATGTATCACTGCTGTCCCAACACAGCATTATCAGACACAAAGCTGTAGTTCCTGCAACGTCCAGCCTTCAAAGTTTCTTCAAGAAGTTCTGTTGCCTTCATCTGCACCACAAGGAACACTAGGAGAAGAAAATACACCCCACACCCCCCTCCCAGAATAGGCACCTATGAGTACGTACATGGGATTAATATTAAGCAGTTGGGAAACTTCTGACTAAATATGGGTGCATCCAATGAAGTTAGGCATGCACAGCCTTTGAAAGTCCAGAAAAAGGGCAGGTTAGCTTGCTTCTTGGATGGAGGCAAGTTTTAGAAACCTAAGCCCCAGCTTGGTATTCAGCTGGACCGAGCCTCTGTCCATTAGTAGAAATTAAAAGGTGTTTGGGGGACACACAGAGCTGAATTTAACCAGCTAACTCGTAGGCTGGGGGGGGTATATCTCCTCTTTTAGAAGCCGAAAAGGCCAGCTAAGTACCCCAGTTCATTACCATCACTATCTGGTAGGCTTTCCCATGCTGTTCATGACACTGTCACCTATGCAAAACTCCCTCAGCAAGTGCACTTATCATCCAGTCGAGAATCGCTCATCTCAGGTTTAGTTCTCTTTCCTTCCAGAGGTGTGTTTTTACACTCCAAACGTTCTCATAAATGGCTTTTCTACTTTGTCGAAAGCAACTCAGAATCTGCGCCCTGCGCAAGGCAATCTAGATGAATGGATTCACGGCCTCCCTCTGAATCACATGAAAACCAGAAAGATTAGGCTGAAGAAAACGGACTTCTTGCATTTCTCATTTTTTGATCAGTTACAGAAAAAAGGGAAAATAAACCAGAAGCAAGTCAGTCCAGAATATTCTTTCAGTTTAAATTGAGCGCTTCAGACTACAGCTGAAGCTACTACTTTGGTAAAGAAGGGGAAGAGGGCATTTAATTCTGTTAGTTTGTCCGAAGAACGCTACCAAGACTTTTGTTTAAATGATGTTTAGATAACAGGCTTTTTAAAACCATGAGAAAGGACAGGCTGTGTTTACAAAAGTGACAACTCATCAAAGCAGAAACAATAGATGACAACGTGACTAACAAGCAAAGAGGAAAATGACGCAGAGAAAAGAGCAACGCCCCCAGCATTAAATATGACGGCCACTTACGCTTTTTCCAGAAACGCGTCCCTTGACATGTTCTGTGCCAACAAATTTGTTGCCAAACTGAACACTTCATCTGACCATTCCTGTAAAGAGAAAATTTGATTAAATGAGGCTTAGTTTAGATGTTTACTTACACAATGCAAAATATTTTTGAAAATTACATCGTTAGTAAAAAGCGCCTAATTAAAGGCTGAACTTGATTTTTCCCGTTACAGCTTCCCTCCTCATCTGTGAGACCTGATTTTCTCATGCTGCAAAAAAAATGAAGACTGTTACAGATATTTTTTTAAAGATATCTTATTCCATTGAACTGGAAAAAAAAAATCATATGGATAAATGTCTGATGCAAACCACATTCAAGCTCCGAGAAGATGTGCAATAAATGCCCCAGAAAAATACATTTTCTTGTGTGTTGGACACTGTTCTGGTTGACACACTAAGGATTAAAAAAGAAGCCTCTATATCACCATTCTTATAAAATGAAGCTGAAATGGGCTTAAATCCCTCTGCAGACAGATAGACCCGACAGGGTGGGATACAGGTCACACCATAGCAAGTCTCTTGCTTCAATGTCCCCTCTTGCAGGAGCTCGTTGGGAGAGCCTCCGCATCACACTCTCTACAGATCATGAAGTAATTCAGACAACAAATACCATGCCTTATCTTTTATGGTGGATACCGAATTAAGAACTGTAAGTACTGACTCTATCTAAGATCTTACTAGGTAACATAAGAAACGCACTTAAAAAACCCAAACCAGCAGAAATGTATAGGAATAAATTTAAATTATTCTCATGTACAAGGAAGAAGATGCAAATCCAAACAGAAAAGGTCCTCTCCCCACTGCTGTACATCCCTACACTGTGATCCTATCCCTCACTAAATTATTTCCCCCCTTGCTACCCTGACGTAGAGAAGAAATGTCCTCCAGCCGCTCACGGGAAACCTCCCACCGCCGCCTGCAGGCACTGCTCTTCCCATGGCTCTCCCTCACTTTTCCTCTCTTCTATTTTCCAGACTTTTCTCAACTCTGTGTACGTTGCTGAAGTCCTTCCCTTAGGTCTCTGAGCTTTCCCGGGTTCCCAGCAAGGCTGATCCATGATTATAATCTGAAGTTTAGACTCTCGCTGCTTGTCCTGTCGCTCTCCTCCCTCGCAGGTCTCTCCTGCAGCTTTTCATCAATGACATCAAAGCATTTTTCCTTGCTAACTTGGTGCTTATTTACAATCTTTAATTGCAATTCTTTTTAATCACAACTGCAGTTTTGGATTAGCTTTGTTTCACCCCTTTAAAAGAAAGGGATGAAAAAAACCAATGCCTTTGCAAGCAACGTGATACTTTTTTTTAACTTGATGAAGTTTTCTGAGCTTCCTTTGAAACTAAAATTGAGTTTCCTTTCCTATCAGTCCAGATCCAAAATTCCCATTGCCACACAGTCTCTCAGACGCATACTCTTTGAGAGGTATTTCCTCCCTTTGGCTCTTCTTTTTCTTGAGGAAAAATACAAAAAATGGGGGATTTAACTCTGACAAAAACTGGTAACGATGAAAAGTATCATTGACTTCCAATGAAACAAATGTTGCTACGTCACTTTGGAGCTTATGAGCTTGTTTTACCTAAAAAGCCTCAGGTTTCCACGTGACTGGGCGATTGACTGGAGAGAGGTTCAGAAGTTATAATTTTTTCTATTTTTATTTTTTTTTTTAACCTGCCAAGGTTTTTTGCCCTACAGCTATCAGATCTTGTTCCTGAAACCATCTCGCACAGTTGCTCCCAAGGAAGAGATAAGGCTACCTGTAACGCCTACTGTTATAGGGGCCTTCGATATCCTTCAGCTATCAGATCCTTAAGTCCACCCCATTTATAACCTCACCCCTAAGCAGCCGAGACAACACATCTCCCTGTGACTGGCATTTCTGGCAGAGAAACCTTCCTCTCTCTGACACAGATTTCTTGTGCTGGAGGCAAACCACCGCTGCTGAGAGTCCTCCCCTCCACCTCTTGTGACCACTTCCATTCTTCTTCTTTAGCTGTTTTTCCTTCTTAGGTCTAATTTAAAAAAAAAAAAAAACCAAACAAAAAAAAAAACCAAACCACAAAACATGAGGGTGTGAGAAAGAAGAGGAGGAGGAGTCAGGTTCGTTAGCAACACAACTGCTTTGCTGTGACTCTTGGAACAGAAAGCGTATTAAGTGCAGCATCCGTTTTTCCTCTTGGCAAGTCATTTTTCCAGGCTCAAAATAGGCTCATCTTGTAAACTCTGCTTTGTTTAGGCACTAATAATAGCAGTTAAAATGTCTCCCTGTGACACTAAAGGCTGCAGAGATTAATGGTAACATAAAATATTATTTAGAAATTGAAAATACGTTGGCTTTTAACAGATCTTGATAGGCTATGTTTGGATCTCATTAGTTCTGCTGGGCTTAAAACCAAAGTATTTTGTAGAAAACAGAAGTAGGGCACTTCAGGAGTATCCCACAGCCCAGCTCTTCCTTCTCTTTGTCCGAGTGCTTGTTGACAGCAATGTAAGGGGAACTCAGTTATTATGTGCCTGTCACAAGCATTATTTACACAAACTGTCTTGCCGTGTTCCTTTGCTAGCTTTTCCTGGCTCTTCAAAGCGATCACATCACTCTTGCCAAATATTCTAAGGGCTACCTGCAGGCTGAGCCATTCCTAACGACGCAGGTGCCAAGTCAACAAGTCACAAGCAGTATTTACTCACTGCCTCTCCCATTTTAGGGTCTTCATTCCAGCCACCATAGAGTCCCAGCCAGAAACCCAAGGTCAGAAAATATGCCAAGGATCACATCATCTTTCCAGTCACCGGTCTGAACCCTCAGCAGGAGGGGAAACAACAGCCCTGAGCACAGACCCGAAGAAATAAAGGAGATGGTTTGGACTGACTTTGATGGGCTTGCATCAAGCTGTGAGCCAAGATGCCTCTTGCCGCTTTAGCTACCAAATGGCTCTGTTTCCTTGGGTTTGCTGTACGGTACAGAGTACAGCCCATACGCTCGCTCCATGCATGATGCACTCTGCAGCCGTCTTTACCAGCAGCAGCGATTCCTGAAGGCCGTGCTCGGTGAAAGCGCTCCGCGGGGTAGAAAGCTGTTATGTGTAGAAAGAAAACAGCCTACTGCGGAAAGGTTATAACAGCCTCCCAATCACCGCGGTAGCTGCAGACTCCTGTACAGATGCAATACAAAAGGAAAATATAAATCTTTTGATATTTTGAAATAGGGCTATACTAGTGCCAACAAACTGTTTGCAGACTGGAAGCCTCTGATCCTGTTTGGTAGCGGAAGAACCCAGCCTTCCAACATTCAACGCCAAGCAAGTCACATCCATCATGATAAGAGCTCCCTGAACTCGATCTCCTCTTGGCTACGTCCTGTTACACTAATTCATATTTGTATCATTCCTGTGAACTTTACTAACAAATTATTTAGCTGTTCTGTGCTTTGGCAGGTAGCATATAAGCAGCAGTTCATTTGGAAATCTGTTGCTTAGTGAAGTAATTTCTCTCTTCTATTACACACATCAAGATACATACCGTAAGACATTTATCTCAACAGAAGAGATGAGACTTTTCATAAGACAAGACAGCACATATTCTTGAAAACACTTCCTTCAAATCAGAACTGACTACGTGTGAAGACAATGTTTCTCACACATTTGTTTTTGGTAGGAGGCTAACAAAGCAAGCTGCTGAAATTCTACACTTTTGGCATCCTTATGAATTTTATTTTAAAAAAATGAAATGGATGTGAATTTATATGGTTCCCTTTATCATTTTATTATTCTGATCAAGCTCTTAGATATGCTGGGGAAGCTGGAAAAACAAAGATGTATGCTGGGAAGCATAGTATAACACAACTTGTGAATCATCTTTGACGACATTATTTTACTTAGGGAGGAATTCATCAGCTCCTAGTGATGGACCTGATCCAAAGCTCATCAAACTGAGGAGAAACAGATTTCCTTGGGCTCTGGATAGGGGTCTGTATGGCCAGGATGGACTAGTGTGGTGAGAACAGAGTTGGCATGAGAGGCACAAAGGAGAGTGAGGGGGAAAAGATGGGAAAGACGAGACATTCACTTTTGAAGTTACTGCATTTGGAAAGAGAATGAAATACTGTAGTTCAGACACAGAAGCTCACAGGTCGGACTTCTTCATGTTGGAAACGGAGACGGAGAAAAAGAGCAGCTGCTCAGAATAGGGTTTGAGAATAAATTTCTTTCTTTATCCTGGCTTCTGTAGCACTGTGCTTGTGGACGCTTACAAATCTTATCCTAAGATAGGTACCCCCGTCGGAAAATAAGCAAGCGCTGTATCAGTGCTACTTCTCTTCATCATCAAGACGTACCTAGCAATCTGCCTTTTAGACTACTACCTAATGAATTTCAGGCTGCATTCTTTGAACAAACCAGTTGCTCAGCACCCTTCAGCTCATCACTAATGTACTTTAGTTACTTTCTCCTGGAGGAATGCACATAAAACCGTGCACTGCGACTACAGTGTCATTTCTAGCTCTTTACTTAGTTCACTTAAAGCAAGTTGAATAGCCCAAGACTCTTATTTTGATAATTTTCCCACAACTTGGCCAGTGGATGTGCTGAACAGAGTTTGTAGCAGAACAGGAAGCCTTCTGCAAAGGAAGAAAACCCCATAATTGAATAATTTTAACTGCCTCACTAAGACCGTTACAGTTTACTTTGCCTTTCTCCTCCAAGGCAGGACTGCTCGATAGTTGTCACACAACTTGAGAAATAAGGTATTGCAAAGGAAGGGTTAATCCAAAAAATATTCATGTACTGAAAAGGGAAAGGTGGGGGAGTTTTCCATTGACACGTGCTTTTCCTGGAACATCAGCAAGCAGGGTCAAAATTTGCACGTGTGACATTGAAAACGTCTTGCATTGACATGCCTTCTCAGAGCTCCCCCAAGAGATGATTTGTGCCTGATGTGCTTATTTATTATGACTTCTCTGAGTCACTACATGGGTCCCGGAGACGGTAAGGAGTAGATTCTGTGGTCTGGCTCATATAAAGTTAGAAAACATGTAAAAAAAGGAAGAATTTTTAGATGCATTCAACCATGACCAAAACTCTGTTTTCATAGAAACAAACAGGATATTTAACGTGATCTCTAAGTAAGCACAGCTAATTTGCAATGCTCTGAAAATCGCATCCCCAGGCCACAGTGCCCGATTGATAAAATGTTAATTTATGTGGTCTAGCATATTTACAAATAACAAGGAAGACTTAAATTCTTAGTTACTCAGATCGTAGGAGTTGCTCAGGATTTAGAGCAGCCAAGCTTTTCTAAAACATCATTTTATCTACTGTATTTTAAGGTTCCATTATCAAACAGCAAATAGCCCTAAAATACCAATTTCTGCACTGTTTTAGCAAATAGATTATGGTTCCCTGATTGCTGGCTAGACAGCAAAGTAAAAAGGGATGTACGCTTCTGATTTGGCTGATTTTCCCTTTTGTTTGCTAAGGGCTAACCATTTTTGCTGGTAAAGCTTTAGTATACCTTTTCATTTTCCATCATGGGCATAGGTTGTGTTTTTTTTTTCCTGAAGAGTTGTTGCAATCGCTTTCACTTTTGCACTGCTAAGATTTCTTAACCACCCCTGCAGAGTATAGCTGTGCGTTTTCAAGTCTGAGGACAGCACTCCCCACTCCGCGGTCCATGGACCACCACAAACTCTTTTTGTTTCTCTTCTGTCATATCAAAGAAACAGTGGAAATAGTGTTTTTGCCAAGCTGACCTATCGGTTAACAAAGATTAGCAGAGACAGAAACCTGGCAAACAAAAATACATCCTCCTAGCTTAAGGCTTTCACCCTATGACCCTTTTTCTCCTGGTCTGACCATCCTTGTTGCCTGGGAGGTGACAAAATAAGTCCTTACTGTTGTTAAATTACCACAGTCTACAGAGAAATTCTCTTTTTAGCATCATCTATTGGACTCGAGGATGCAAACTGTACTAAAGTGTGTTCTGTGCATGGTTATCTAGAGATTGTCATCAGAGTCTACCCATATGAATGGAAGCAGAAAGAGGAGTAGCTTTTGAATGTCAGTTTGGAATAGATAAAGCAAAGAGCTCCCACTTCATTAAACACAATTGAGTCATATAGAAATTGGAAGAAGGAAAAAACCAAAACAAAACATGTACTAGTATCAATCGTAACTTGCTTGGCACAAACAACTGCATTCTATGTGGTGTCTTGGACAGAAATGAAGGGACCATCCACCTGCATGGAAAAAACACTTTGCTAAGGTAATGCCATTGACTACACAATTCTTATCAAGGGCTACCAGTAGGTAAAATGCGATGCCTAAAATTGACCTTTGATCACGAACAGAAACGTTCATGCATGTAAATTAAACAAGGGGTCTGCTGACATACTTGACTACACAAGGTAGAGCTGTAGATTCCCACTGCTCTGATAAAGGTCAACCTTAAAAAGTCAACCGTTTACAAACTTTGTTCTCACAGATGATCCATAATTCGTCCACACTTAGAACAAGCATAAAAGGGTGATAACTACTGAAAGATATTGATATGTGTTTGGAGAGTCACAGTACACATCTTATAGCTGAGTAAAAATGTGCATGTAGCATCACGTTCATAATGCTTATTTGGGCTTTACAAGCAATGTTCTGAAGATGAGCACACATACCAGGCTGCTGAACAAAGTCCCTGAAAAAAAAAGGACTGCACATTTCTTCTTGGGTACTGAGTGGCACAGCTCTGTAACAGAATTGAGGTTCATTTCATAGCAATCTCCACTTTTATCTCATTTATCCATAACTAAACCCAGTATTTTAAAAACATTAATTTTATATGACCCAGATGAACGTATATTACCTTTGCTATATCCTCTTGGAATGCCACCAAGTTCAAATATGATATATTGACCAGGTCTGGACCATAGACAACAGTTATCATTCGATTTTCCAGTCGACCTCCTAGGTTCCCAGCATCCAACAGTTCACGCAGTTTTGGATCCTGCAGGTAAATACATAACAAAATAGTTACAAATCTTTTGCAAATACTTACGCTAAAAGAGTTGATTATTTTTGCAAATACTTCAGTTTTGAAAACTTGTATTATTTTGAACATGACAGCACTTGGTTCTGATCAGGTTAATTAGTCATTAAAATATTTCAAGTTATTAACCCAGAATAAAAAGAAAACTACTACTGTAAATCCTTCAAAGCCTTTGAGTTCTGTGTTGGTACAGTACAGACTAAAAGGTGTCCAGTTGATGGTTGCACATGCCTATTCTCAGTTATTTTCCCCTCAGAAGTTTATATGTAAACTGTTTTGCTTGTCAAAATAACACAATCTGTCCAAAGGCTACTGACCTCAGCAGAGAGTTTCTCTATGATTTTAATGGATTTTAGATAAAGCTCAAAATGAGAACTTAGTTTTTCCTAAGGAATTTATAAAATCGTCTGGAATTAACAGTCTTAAACGCTATGAAATGAATAATGGAATTTTGGTGATGCCCTTCCTTCTTCTTCATGTTCAAAATGTCATGTATTAATTAAATTATGAGATATATTCTATTTATATTTAGTTTGTAGTATTTTTTTCAGGTTTATATCCAATATAGAATCATAGAATTGTTTAGGTTGGAAAAGACCTTTAAGATCATGAAGTCCAACTGTTAACGCAGCACTGCCAAGTCTACCACTAAACCACATCCCTCAGGGCCACATCTACAAGTCTTTTAAACACCTCCAGGGATGGGGACTCCACCACTTCCCTAGGCAACCTATTCCAATGGTTAGTATAGAAATGACTACATAACATTTCTGTGAAGGAAAGATACATTCAATTATTTTTATCAGTTAATAATAGACTGAACCTCAGCTTTATTGGTAGCATAAGCATGTGAGAAAAAATTTCAGGTTATTTTATAACTCTACTAGTTTCTATTTCAGCTGCAGAATTTCCAAGAAATGCACTCAGGGTTTTTCAAACTAAGAAAACTGCTTGGTCCTTGGCCTTCAGATGAAGTTTATAAAGGCAAAGACAGATGAAAAGAAGCCCTGCATGACTGAATTCAATCCTTTGAATAGGGTCAGTATAACTTGGAAGCTCAGGTTTCCTAAAAGGTAAGATTTTTCAATCTGGTACAAATACTAAAAAATTGCCAGCAAATAGCATCGTTATGGGACGACGGATTCTGTGTAGAGATCAAATTATTTCAAAACTGACACAAATACATACTGCAGTTTACATTTCACTCTCACACCAACCTTTTACCCCACTGTCTGCATATGCTTAGTGTTTATGGTACTTCTTAATATTTAACAACTTTTGAATAAGAAACTAAATTTCCACCAACAGATTCAAATTAAATTTAGTATAACGGGACGATAAGCTTAAGATGATAAATAGGATAATTTTTCATGGATCTTGCAGGAAATCCTGTATCAACAAGACCTCTGTCCAAAGGGCATCTCCTGATTGGTATCATATCTGCTTGTAGGCAACAGAGTTATGCATATGTTCACCAAATACTTCACAAGGTTTAGGAGAGCATTTTGAAGTATGGCGTGTTAACTGGAAAGAAAATACAGGGTTGTCCATCATAAAATGCTGAGCCTCATTAAATACTGGGTATGATGGCAAGTGTTGCAGGAAAACAGACAGAATAATCTTATTTGAGGGCTCTGTAAAGAAGGAATATGATTGTGCTCTGAGACAAAGACAATTTCATGGGTAAACAAGTTAATGACAGGCTTTCACATAAAAGGAAAACAGAACAGGGATATAAAAACGGTAGTTGCTTTCCAGAGAGGAGGATTTGAAGGAGAAAGATGAAGAAATTGTATAATTTACATCTAGGAGAAAAGCTAGAGAAATGCCTTGAAGATGCTAAGTTAGTGATGGTGTGTTACCAGCTGGGTTACCTTCTCTTTTATTTACAGGCTGAATGTTACAAAGCTTTGTTTAATTTCTCTGGGAGGTGAGAACTCATCTGCTTTTTACTCTCTACCATTTCAAATCCAAAATCAGACTGATAAATGCTTCCGCTCAAGGGCCTGTCTGGGAAGAGCATCATTCTTTCTGAACTCAAACTGAACAGGATTGTCTATATGGTCTTATTCTCTTTCACATAATTGTCATTCCTTTCTCCCTTTCCCTGGCTGAATCTCTTGCTCACAGTTTCACTCTTGGTGATGAACTGCAATCATATCAACAAAAGAAGAAAGAAGATAACCTTTTTCCTTTGAATTTATAGTCAGCTATAGGGTGTCTCTATGATGGATCATACTCTTGTTAGTCTAAGAGATGCATTAGCCATGCGTCACAGAATAAAAAAGAAACATATTTGAAATTGGATGTTTTTTCAAAGCAAATTCATCAAAAGAGAAGTTGTCTGGGACTGGCTCAGTAAGGTTTTTAGAAGTGCTGAGTAAGTGGCCAATCAGGCAATGCGAGTACGACTTTGGTCTTCCAAATCACAGGATTTTTCTCTAGTTTTTAAAGGCAAGAAATTAGACAGATCATCCTCTTTGGGTTGCCGGGTTTGGATGAGTAAAATGTTGAATTCTTCTTCTATTCTGTTTAAGACTTGTCTAACAACGTTTGAAGCACACAGTCCCTTACAGCAATACATTACCTGGCCGCCATCCAGCACCTGCTAATGAAGGACATACACTGCGTATCCCAGGCTATCTCAGTGTAACCTGCAACGTGCTCCACAGATTTCAAATAGATATTTTTATTTTAAGTTCAGTGACACAGAATAATTTTGATACTAACAGGATTCACACCCTTTTTGATCCCTGCCATGGGTGTATTTGGCTTTAAGGGTGACAGATGCATTTCCACTTGTCAGTGACAACTTAGCCCTTAGCTGATGATCTAGGTTGTATTACTTGGCCCTTAGATCTGAAGTTCTCAAACCGATATACCAAAGCACACTGTCAGCTCTTCACATTCCTCATGAACAGCTCTGCTTCCCTATTACCACACTTAGCTGCAAACACTACCAAGGAGATGAGCAAAATACCCTTTAACAAAATCTTGAAGACTATCGAAGCTCTATGAATCAAAGCTCTTTTTAAAATGTCAGCAAGTTTTCCTGCAGAGATGACAGGAAAGCACATTGGAAAAAAACAAGCAGCAAGACCAAATTTAGCTCTTTTATGTAAATCGCATTATTTTGATTTTGATAATTCCATTTTGAGGAACGAGACTGAAAGTCTGTTGCTGTTTGGAGCTGCATTTGATATACTGGCTCACAAGCAGACAGCTTGTTTTTTGGCGTAAGCTCTTTGCTAGACTGAGGCCTTATTAAGAACATATTGAGCTCTTTGAAAAACATTCAGAAGAATTATACCCATTGAATATTGATTATAGTAATTTTTTGAACACCTGAGCTACTGAAGCTCTATCACATTAGGGAACATGCCCACGGGATGCTCAATAAACAGCAGGCTATTGACAATGCCCACGTAACTCACCAAAGTTCCCTTCATAGTGCAATGACTTAAGTCTGCTTTGATGTTTTCTGACAAAGGAGCAGCCTTCCGCCTCTTTTACTCAAAAGGTCTACATGCCAGCTTCTTTCTTCCCTTCCAGTAAAGTCTAGCAGGAGCTTCAGCTCAAGGACTGGAGCTGCCTGAAGACTTGCCCTGAAATCAGGTCAGGAAAGCCAGTGTCTCTGATGGGACACCTCTGTGGTTAAAGGGCTGACAGATCCCTGGAGGGAGATGTAAATTGTGAGCAGGCAAATACAGAGGAGGTGACAAGGCCGGTACTGGTAGCACAAACGGTTTTAGAATCCATTAAAAATTAGATTAACCACGTCAAATTGAGGCAAGAGTTGGCCAGAGGACTATCTGCTCATTTGGTAAAAAGCCTTCCCTATTTGGTTCTGCTATCTTGACAAAACTATAAAAAGAACTATACATTAAATCAATCCAAAACAAAAACAGAAAATAGAAAAAACTAGCCAGAAACATAGGAAAAAAAAGCTTATGGAATTCCTACAACTTTCATGGACAAATGCTGAACAATGATGTTTTGTTAGAAACCAGGATCGTGTAGACAGATGGATAAAAATAGATTTCAATCAGACTTGCAGAACTTTCTCCTGTCGTATTTTTCTTTCACTAGAAATGTAAAAATAATGTAAACTTAAAGAGGCTACTCAGCCACATTAATAATAATCTCCATGAAGACTGTTTTCAGCTGTGGTTATGTTATTAAAACGTAGCTCTTGAACACTGAAATCCCAATTAGCGTGTGCCCTGAACATTACAGTAAATGCCGTAACATCTTTTAATAGTATCTCCAGCTCTTTAAACTTTTTCCTGAAAACCTGCAACACACCATCTGTCTGCAAAAATGTTGGGTTTTTAATACATTGTCATACACATATATCTAAAAGGCTGCCATGAAGTTCAGTAAAACTCAAACACTGATTTAACCACAGCAAGGGGCAGCAGGCCAGCCAAGGCTTCCCCTTAGATGTAACGCACCACCTTTTGTTACCAACGCTTCTCCAAGCTGCAGCACCATCTCTGAGAGCAGCTGTCTTTGATCCCACACCTACATGAAACAGCAAAAGAATCTGTCCAATGCTAAAGATTTTCCTTGGGGTTCCACAGTTACAGACAATGGGATGGCCAAACTGGGCGATTATCAAAAAACTCAGCCAGAACTTCTCGGTTGCTAGAACAGCTGTGCAATTAAAGTATAGGAAATTTTTGGTGTTTGCAGACATTAATTTATAACGCAAAAAATCTAAAGGAGTCATTATAGACTATACTACATGTATAAACTACATACAGCGTGTACTATATTACCTATATTATCTATACAACATTCACAACATTGGCATGCAAAATGCCACAGGCTCCCTGCCCCCTGACAGCTATCAACTGAATTATTTTCTCACGCATCTCATGCAGTAAAACACTGTCTTTAAGATGTCATCAATTAAATACTTGTCCTACTGAAGCTATAGGCATGAAAGGTGTCCC